GGGGATCAATGGGTACCGCTTAGGCATTGTTGGCTGTATAGAGGGCACAAGTAGCTATAAGTAGTGCCTGATCATTCTACCAATCAGAGGCCCGGGTTTTTATAGCCGTGAATAATTGTTAGTAATATCGCTGTTAAACAGCAACTATGTTCCTGTTCTTTACATCAAAGTGGTCAAATTGCACGTACCAGTTATAATATCACACATGAAACACAATTATGCTTCAAGTATCCAATTGAAACATTTCCTCTTCACCTTCAATATCTGAATATTAAAACATAACACTTTAAGGAAGCTCAGTGGATAACATCACAAGGAGATAAAGTGTGTTACATGCCATATCTATGAATATTATTATGTCAATAGAATAATCTCATTGTGATTTCAAATGCAAATAATTCAAGCAAAGTTTTCAACAACTTACGGTTTCACCTTTGTACCTTTTTCCGAGAGAAAAAAACCTTGTCCAAACAATGTCCATCCATGATATATTGATATGAACTTTGCAGTTTATGGTACCATTGCATGGTTGGTGAACAGGCAAGGGAAAACGTCACCCCGAGCCAAAATGATGAAGAGAGAAATAAATTTATCGACAGAAAGAGAGGAAGAGAGAGACAGAGAAAAAAAGAGAAATTATATAGAAAGAGAAAAAGATAGAGAGGGGAAAAAAGAGAGAGAGGGAAAGTAAGAGAGAGAAAGGAAATAAGAATGAGAACGAGAAAGAAAGAGAGAGAGATAAGGAAAAAGAAAGATAGAAAGAGAAAAAGAGCCAGGGGCCCTGGGAAAAAAATACAGTTAAAAACACGTTAATGTTAATTTTATTTTTGGAGATGCTCCCCCCCCCCCTCCCCTGGCGCTCAAGGGAGATGGGGGGGGGTAGGATATTTCAAATTTCCGAGGGCCAAACATTTAAAAGAAAATAGTACTCACTACCCCCATTTGTTCTTAGCCAGGGGACGGGACCATTTTTTGTTTTGTTTTTTGTTTAAAAAGGTAAAATTACCTTTAAAATCCCTTTTGGACAATCATACATACACCCATATCAATAATAAGAAGTGTGTTCATGTCTTAGGGTAGGTGTGGGAAATTGGAGACCACCAAGCTTGAACCCATCACTGTCTGTCCGTCTTGGCTTCAATATTGCTATAGGGCCATCTGTGGTCTTTAAGAACACTACTGCATATATCCATTTCATTTCGAAGACTAAAATGCGTTCTTTCTCCGAGAAAATTTGCAACATTGACCAAGGTTAGCAATTATGATCGTAAAATTTTGCTCTGATATAAAAACACAATTTTCACTGAATGTTGTGGTGTATGCAGATATTTAGAGGTGGCTCTTAAAAATAGGTTTTAAAAGGAAGTTTATGAAGTGTTCCAACAATCACAGAAAACGTATGGCCATTGTGTGTAGTGAATGGGTGTTGCAATGCACATTATGAATGGTGTCTGATCAGAAATGTGTGCAGGCAATGGGGGACACCAGGTCCAAAATGAAGACAAAATGACCCGATGCTGGTTGGTTAATTGTCCATGTATAGACATATTTTGGGCAACATTTGATTTATTTATTTCTGTTTGATTTTCTCTTTCTTTGGCATTTTTACAAATATATAACAACAAAAAAACATTGCAAATTTTACACATTTCAAAAGAATATAATGTCGAATAAAGTAACTAATCGAAAACATCAAACAGGAGGGTTGACAAAGCTTGATAGCATGACTACCCTCAATGGATACATAATAATACGAATATGGTGGAACAAATATTGGTAAAGGAGGAAAAAAGAGAGAGAGGGAGAGAAAGAGAGAAAGAAAAAAGAAAGAGGGGGTGTACATCAAGATTCACAGATGTATGTGGTACAATGTAGTTGGATTTCAATTTGATATATAAAAATAAAAAAAGAAGATGCACATTTGAATATTGGGTGGCAACTTGGGATGTATTATAGAATGAGAAGACTCACGATGTTTCTGGACAATAAGAATAAAAATGTGAGATCAGCGAGCTGGTTTATATAGACTGTAAACCTTTGTTTGTATACAAAAATGGTTTTGGGAGTATCCCAAGTAGGCCATATTGTTTTAAAATCGTTTCAAAATTACAGTAAGTTCATTGGCTGCAGGTATCTCTTTCAAAAAGTGTTTTTAACTAATTATAACAATCTCATTTTCATTCATATTGTACTTTAAATGTCTTGATTTGTAACTGTCCCTTATCACCTATACATGTAGGTAATGAGAGACCTTTGGTGATGACGTCATTATTAATCACATCATGACCATAATTTTGTTACCAAATAAAGAGAAGAAGTTACTGAAGAGAATACAAAACTTTCTGTATGTGTAACATTTTTCATGTTTATGTAAATTATACAAATGTGCTTAAGGGTCTCCAATTCCCTACACCTACCCTATGCCTTATATTCTTTGAAAATTCTGTCTTTTAAATTGGGGTGGTGGGGTTGGGGGACTTGTTCTTAAGCCTATCCAGTATGTGCTCTGTATAATTCTTTAAAAACCTTAAGATATTCAAGCATTGTATACTTTAGCAATTATGAGGACTTAACAACTCAAGAATTCACATCCCCTCCTCCCCCCTCCCCCCCCCCCCCCCACAAAAAACATGATTATATGCTGCATTCATCAATCATCTTCTTAACAATTAAGAACTTCTTTGCATTATAATCATGTTTTGGTGGTTAACATTTCAGATTATTTTTGATGCGGAAAGGGACTCTATCCCCAACTGACATGTATTTGTGATATATCCTACCAATCTGTTTCTAATAGGATAATATTGTGCTTCAATTAAATAAAAAACGCGTCTGGTGAGAAATAAAAATCCCCACACTTGTTCCAATAATCATGATAGGTTGTATGCAGCTGGGTCTTCTATCCATTTTTCCGTCTGATTGTAAATGCGCAATTTAATTTTCTGAATGAAAAATAATGTTCTCAGCATCCCCGCCATTCGCTGAGTATCTTTCAAATTGCTCTTAAAATTAACACGGTGTGCATCGTAGCAAGTCTAGATAATGTAGATATTCATCAGCTAAACATGCATGTGCCTCACCTCCTGTTTTGCTTGCGTTCTGGACAGCCATGGTAATACCAATGTATTGTGAGTAAACCATGTTTGCATAAGCCCGCATCCAAAATGTTATGATAATATTATAGAACATACATGTAGGATCAAAGCCAGGAGGTTGGTTCACTTATTATTCAGGAATGAGGAGGCGACACTAAATGGATTCGCAAGTGCCCTTTGGCAAGAAATTAATCTTAAATTCCTCAGAGAGAGGACTTGCGACCGTCGGTACCCTGGTTACTTACAAGCATGCATATTTTTTCTTAGTAGTTAGGCAAAATGAAGCATCAAACCAAACCAACACTATGCATTGTATTTTATTCATGTTGAGGCGCTAACTTGTCTTAGCATGGGCAAAATTATAACATACGGCTAAAAGGGGCGAGGTGCCGGGGGGGGGGGGGGGGGGGTGGGAGGGTCAACAGCCCATGCCCGTATTTAATTTAACATCAAAGAGTATAAAATAACTACTTAATTATTGCAATCAACACTCATAAGCATTTAAAAAAACTGTACATTACTAAATGTCCAATTAATATCGTCCAGTTAATAAACAGAGAAATTGGCAAAAAATAGGGAAATATTATCCACAAAAAAGCACATTTTCCGCTTAAAATTCCTTTTTTTACACACAACATTAAGATGAAGGTATTTTATTCATCCATCATTTAATATCAAACCCATGGTAATTACAGGTTTTACTTACAAGTTATCTGAAAAGCTCGATTTAAACATATCAAACAAATCTTCAATACACTAAATACACATAAACGCGTACAGTTAATACACGTGTGGGCCAAAATGTTTTTTTTTGTGGAAGTCAAGTCAAAAACTTATAAACGCTATAAATGTTCACTGAAGACATACCCCCCCCCCCCCAATCAGTGTTATTTAGGGTACGCGTATGCTTGTTCCCTCTTTTTGAAAGCACCCCCTATCTGAGGACTGTCAACATTTCCGAACCCCCCTTTCGCGGGCTTTTCGCGGGCTTTTCCTGCCTTGGAGACCCCCCTAAATCCAGAAAAATGCTCAATGTACCCCCCTAAATTCAGAATAATTTCTCAGGAGTCCAAAGAGATTAGAGAAAAAAAGACAAAACATCCCCTTCTTAAAGAAATCTCTGGGTGAAAAGTCAAATACACCCCTTTTTGTACAATTCTCGGGCCGGACTTTGTCGCACGAAAAGTACCCCTTTACCAGACATTTTGGTAACACGCATGCGGTCATTCCTACCCCGGAGTGGGGTGGGGGGGGGGGGGAGACATATAAGCCTCTCATTTGCACAAGATATTGTCCTGGACAGGTTTATGGGCAAATTCCTTTAAAAGGTTATGATAAAACGCCTCTCCTACTTTCATATATGGAAAATAACTTTTTTTGATACAATTTTTTTTTTTAAACAAAATCACACAGACACAAAACAAAATCTTACTTATAATTGCGGTGCTAATTTATTTTGATTCTGTTTACATTGTTGTCAAAATGTAGATGATTACATTTTCTTTCATATGACATCAAACTTATGGTGGTTCAAGGATTCCTTAAAATACCACATACATTACTATTTTTCGTCAAACGGGCCGCTTTTGGACCCCCCCTCCCCTCCGATTAAGGGGTGACCGCTACAAGAAAAAAAAAGGGGGAAAAAAAAACACCTCTGAAATATTGCGTATTATGATAAAATATCTCGAATAAACAAGGTGTGCTTAGTTTGTGTGGTAGTGGCAGGCAAACCCATCTTTTTAGACTTTGACCCTCCGCTTATCAGGCAATTGATGTGATATTTTTCGTAAAGTTTTGCACTTAACCTTTGAGCAACATCCATTCGGGGAAACATTTCCATCAATAGCAACGTTTGTCTTATAGGCCTAAGTTCGAATTTTCAAATCTAATTACTGTCACAAAATGATGGATAACGTCTTCTTCTGGCTCCTCGAAAAAAGTACAAGTATCTTGTCGGACGACAAAGAAGAAAAGTCCGACATCTTGCTAAACGCGATCAAAGATCGCGACCTCAACACTGTTGCTCAACTCATCGACGTTGTCTCGGACGTGAACAAAATGAAATTCGAGGGAAAGCCGCTTCTGAGCATAGCAGCGTACAGTAGACACGTCAGTATAGTAAAACTCCTTGTCAGTAATGGAGCAGACATTGAAGGCATTGATGATAAAGGTCTGACACCGTTGCATGTAGCTTGCTCAAAAGGTACTCTCAAGATTGTTCAGTTTCTCGTCTCTAAAGGAGGGGACATCAATAGACAAACCTCTGCCGGGATGACTCCACTTGCAATTGTGACCGAACGAGGCCATGTTAAGGTTCTGGAGTACCTTATCAGCAAGGGTGTCGACATTAAGAGGTCCAATAGAACAGGGCGCACACCACTCATTTGGGCGTGTATCCACGGGTTTCTACCCTCAGTGTACTATCTCATTGGTGAGGGTGCAGATGTCAATCGCCCCAACAACCGCGGCTGGACATCACTGCATTTCTCCGTCTTTTACGACCGTCTAGATGTCATCAAGAGTCTTGTATCTGCAGAAGCTGATCTCGATCTTCCAGATAAAGACGGGACAACGCCGCTTCATGTCGCTTGCTACAACGGTCGCATGCAAGTTCTGAAGTATCTGCTGAGCATTGGAGCTGATCTTCAGAAGGTAGAGTTTGATGGCACGACGGCACTCCATATCGGGTCCGCTTATGGTCACCACAATGTTGTCAGTTTCATCTTACAACAAGAAGAGGTAATGTATACGAACTGTGTGCTCTTCAGACGTTTCCATTCAAATATTACTGTCATACGTGTTTCTTTATTTCATTTTATAATTACAGGTTGACCCTAATCCTGCAATTATTTTCTTTCACGACACTGGACACGTGCTTTCTTATGAGAAATAAGAATGAGGTTTGATGATTGCGAAGCACTAATCGATTCCTTTTACGCCCCAAATTGTATAATATAATCTATCACGAGTTTGACTTTTAAAATGCCACTTAAAGTTGGAACCATACTTTTAAAGTAGGCCTATAAAAAAGAATTTAACAGTGGTAGGGGAACGAGAAGTGTCTTTCAGTAACACAAACTTGATATAATACATATCAAAGGTATTGTTTCTATTTCCTTGAACATTGTCAAAATTTGAAACAGGGTGGTGAACTCGTGAACAGACCAGATGCAAGAGGTAAAACTCCCCTTCATGTCGCCACCTCACATGGCTTCACGTCGATCATTGATATCCTTGTTTCTCGAGGAGGTGACCTTAATGCACAGACAAATAAAGGTCAGACCTGCTTGCATCTTGCAGCAAAATTCTGTGAGGAATCAACAGATGGTGAAGTCAAGAAAGAACTGTCTAAGGTATGATTAGGAGTTATCTATCTAACAGACAACAATTTGTTTCTTTAAATGAGACTAATTCACAATGAAACAAATAGAATGTGACGTTCCTGAAGGTAGCATGCTTGAAGTAGTGTCATTGTTATTCATGATTTAGATAAATGCGTGTTAAGCATTTATTATCTTTCATCCTGTTTGTGGATGATAACAATTTGTCCTTCTTACACCAGGAGCCTCAAATCTTGTTGAATACCTTAAACAAAGAACCTAAACAAATCACACAGGGGATTAAAACAACAACAAGAAAATCTCCAAAAATATTAACCAAATTCATGATATTTGGCAACTCAATAGAGACCTTTCCCGTATACAAAATGTTGATGTTATTCCTCTGGAAGAGGTCTAATGTACAACATTTCTTGGTGTCCATGTCGACGACAAACTTACATGGAAAACATGTAAAACAATATCACGCAACATCGGTGCGGTTGGTAGACTTAAATATTACGTTCCTTCTTTCACTTCTTATGCTTTACGTCATTTAAACTATATCCTGGTCTGGGGAAACACTCAGTCACTAATATCCTTTTCAGCTTGGTCGATTTATGTTCCGCTATGATAACACAAATCTACCTACAGTAATATATTAGATATTTCATAAAAACAAAACAATTCATAACTATTGTTATTTTCCCCGGCTCGAAATATGGAAATACCCATAATGATACCATTATGAATGCACCAAGTCGCCCTTACTTCAAATCAAAACTCAAACGGTTCCTATTATCATCATATGAAGCCTATTCACGTCTCTTCACTTATAACATTACCCCAGTTAATATTAATTCTCATTTACATTATGTCAATTAATCGTATAAACTAACCGTGGATCTTTTATCCCTCGCGTTGTTTTGTTCTTTGTACTCTTACTCCTCCTAGTATTTGTCCTTTGTTTGCGCTTGCCCTTGTCCTTGTCTTGACTTTCGTCCTCCCGTCTGACATCATCGTGTTCAAGTTTCTGTCTAACAGCCTATGAAAATACGCGACCATTAAAAGTATAAATTTATGGAGGTCTCGAACGCTCGTGGGTGTTAGAGCGAATACACACAAACACTGCTCGGCAGTGTTTTTTTCTAATATGCATATAAGCCCAAACTTCCGATCAATGCATGTGCTCATTTTACTTTTCTCCTTCTTTATATTTCTTTCTTTCTTCCTTTTTTTTCTTTTGTAATCCACACAAATGGAGGCACTGCCTTTAGTAATTTACTCAATTTCCTTTAAATGTCGACTTAATTTACAAAAATTATTATTTTTGTTTCTTAAAATGCGTTATTACTTATAACAATTTAATATTGTATACTTATAGGTTAGTTTTATTCCCCATATTATATTGTAAACGTCATTTGATATAAATTTCATGATTCTAGGACACCTACCCCTGGACATCTGCCCCCCCCCCCCCACGGATAACCACCCCAGTCTAATATCCCCTAGGACAATTACCCCTAGTACAACATCTCCTAGGGCAACCACCCTCTAGGACGACTACCCCCGGGACAACTAACTCCTGGACAACTACCACTAGGACAACTATCCCCCGTACAACTACCCCGGACAACTACCCCTACACCACTACCCCCTACACAACCATCCTCTAGGGCAACTACCCCGGACAACTATTATAGGGAGTAGTTGTCTTGGGGTAGTTGTCTGGGGGCTAGTTGTCCGGGGTAGTTGTCCTGGGGGCAGTCGTCATAGAGGGTGGTTGCCCTAGGGGGTAGCTGTCCTATGGGGTAGTTGACTGGGGTGGTTATCCGGGGGCGTTATTTTTTTATGCGGCACAGATTGGGGCTTTTTTTTAAAAGGGGTCTTGATTTACAAACTAATACTGGTCGTGTGCGTACTTGACAGTATAAGTATTAGAGGTCTGTTTTTATTAGTGTTACATGTAATCCACTACCGCATGGAAAATCATTACATCAACAATTAAAATCAAATTGGAAATCTGAAGAGGAGGCAGCACGTCAATAAGGAGAACATCACAATAATTAGTCAATAAAATTTAACTAACTTAAACGAAGAGGAATGTTATCTAAACACATAGTTCGCGATGGATATACAAACTTCTTCGCAGCGCTATTAATGCGCTAGCGAACATGACTAGTCTCACGTACGTGCAGACACTATTCAGAAGGGAAAGAACGTACTTCCCATAAGGTTTAACACGCGCCATGCCGCAATCTGTGCCGCATAAAAAAAAATAACGCTATCCGGGGGTGGATGTCCAGGGGGTAGTTGTCCGAGGGTAGTTGTCCTAGGGTGTAGTTGTCCTAGTAGTTGTCCGGGGAGTAATTATCTGGGGGTAGTTGTCCTGGGGGAAGTCGTCCTAGATGGTGGTTCCTCTAGGGGGTAGTTGTCCGAGGGGGTAGTTGAATGGGGTGGTTATCCGGGGGTGGTTGTCCATGGGGTAGGTGTCCGGATACGCAATTTGATGTAAGCATTTTTCATGTTTTGATTGAGTGTTGGAAATCGAATTATTTATATTGAATTGAATTGAATGATATATTTTAAAAGTGCAAGTACTTTAATTACTTGACGAAATCTGGCGTTAATTTGGCGGTGCTTATTCATAATGATGATGTATTTATCATTATTTTTAAGTGACACTCTCAAAGTAGTCTTGTAAATAATACCCATCTTCATAAATTTGGTTCAGTTGTAGCAAAGGCATTTGTTATGTAAGGCCTATATAGTTGACTTTGCGTGTTTATTTCATAAAATGGACTCATGACAACTGATGTCTTTGAAGTAGGGGGTGTCCAGTACAAGTTATCTCCCCGAGTTAGTTTAAATTTCTCCATTCTCTTTCTGTTTCTACCATTTGTGCATTCCTTTTCTGTTTTATATTGGTGTACCGCCCCTCTCTATTCCCATTGGGCTCTTTAAAGGTTAAGTCCATTCCAAAATTAATTTGCCTTTAATAGATGCACAAAACAAAAGAAACAGAGCACACACAAAATTATTGAAATCGGATAATTAATAAGGAAGTTATACATTTTTAAAAAAGCTTGAAAAAGTATGGAAAAATTGAAATCACTACACAATTGCCAATTTGGTTGTCAGTTTGTGAGGTCATTGCTTCACTGTTTATCAATTGCTTTATATATTTTTATCCTATTAATTTCCTTATTAATTTTATCCCCAGAAGCTTTTTTTTTTTTTTTTTTTTTTTTGGGGGGGGGGGGAATGGGAAGTTTATGTTGTCAATAATTATAAAGAAAAAAATGAGTGGATAGTGAGGCAATGACGTCACAGACTCATGAGTAAGTTGTCAATTTGTCTTATATAGCTCCGTTTAGTCTCATTTGACAACGCCCCCTATCGTTGGAGTCAGCAGCCTAACATGTTAGCCTATGGAATTTTACCCAAAAAATCGTTAAAAATTCATTTTTTGTTAAAATGAAAAGCACATCCACCCCGACGTACGTTATCACTAGCTCTTTCATTGGAACCCTCATGTCCCATTGAATTTTGAAAGTTCACCCAACGTAATTTGATCAAAATAGGTTGCAAGCTCGCCATTGCCTATAATACACATGTGAAACAAGCCGAACTTTGGACTCAGTTTCCCAAGCGATTGTAAGATTATAGGTCAAGCATACGAAGGATAAGAAGCATAAATTATCGTAGATCACGTCTGCTTGGTTCATTATGTCCATTTCATCCAACCCCCCACCGTAATTTTTCCAATAATTAAAAGCAAACATTTTGCCAAGGTAAGCAAAAACATGAATATTCATGATCACCATGGACTATTCGATTATATACAGAGGGGTGCAATTGTGCACCACATCGAACTCCCCTACTTTAAGTCAAGTATTTCATTGTATTATGTAGTTTGGTAGGTTTATTTTAATAACTGTTTAATTATCAGATATCAATGATAGTTTAAAGATATGGAAAATGTTATTGTATTTTATATTTAGCAAAGCAATATCACATACAAATTCACTACCAAGTGTCGTCTAATCCGCCGATTGTCGTCTGCTATATACATCCAGCGAGCGAAAATGAGACAACCGGAGCAATATGTGTGATTTTGAAAGATTTGCATGTCATTAAAAATTTATAACATTCTTATTAATTATCCGATTTTGCTCAAACTTTTTTTGATTAGTTTGTCTGATTTTTCTGGTTCCATTGAAAGTAAGTTATTTTTGGAGTGGACTTGAGCACCGGCATTTTACTGGCTAAGGGTTTCGGCTGGTCAAAGGTTTGGTCCTTACTCGGTGCTTACATCAGTATGGACACGGTCCACACTTGTCCCTCTCCACCGGCTAACTTCGAATCAAGGGGTCATCGCGTCCGTTTGGGTGGTCGCGTTGCACGACCGTTCGTGAAACGAAAGTGGAAGATTACGCGCCCTTTCGTACTATTGCCGTAGGATTTTCGCAAAGTGTCGAGTAAATTGGATCGGACTATTTGTAGATGAGAGGGGGTTGATTACATAAACATTTCCTCCGACATTTCGTGAGTAAGGTCCGGTATTAAACGCGACAAACGACCGGACGCGATGACCCAATGATTCGGAGCACGCCCTTTTCACTCAGTATTTCCTCGCAATGATGGGGATAATGATAAATCCAGGGCCCCATAAATAACAATATTATCTCTTACATTGATTTAAATATATCTTCACTTCTTTAGCTCATGGCCGGAAGTTCGAAGTACATGTTTTCATTTTGGCCTCTGACGATTCCACTTGAATTTCTATCACGCAAGGTAGCAAACGTAATGGTCAGGTATGTATAGACATTTTTGTATGGAAATGTCTCTGTATCTTTTTTATCAAGAGATTGTGAAAGTATTTCGTTAAACAAATTTCTGGTCAGTTTTCTGAAATAAACGATGAATGACTTTGTATAATGATATATATCCATTTTTCATAATGTTTGTGGATAAACGATGCAATATTTGACATACACTGTTGGTCATGAAGGTGGAATAATATTTTTTACCCCAATTTATGGAATGATTTTGACAATGATTTATTCCCAATAAATCGAAATAATAGTTTAAATTCTCATATTTTATTGAATAATAACTTGCGAGTGTTTTTTTTTTGCGTGACTGCTGAAGCATATATGTGCTACTATGCTAATCAACTAGGAGACCTACGTCCTAAGTCACAACTGACAGTAATGAGGATTAATGCCTCATAAAATAGCACTTATATAACACATCGACACGGTTTTGACCCTGGGGCCTCAATAAAAATACAAAAAACAAAGAAAATGCAATAAATTATCAATAATTAGTTGCATTTTGCCCCGGTCCCCAAGAGGAAAAATTCCTCTGTAGGACCATGCATCATGGTCCAAAGCATGGCCACACACACAGGATTTTTTAATCTTAATTACTTTCAGTTATGACTAAAAGACGTAGGTCCCCTAGTTGATTAGCATAGTAGTACACATATGCTTTAGCAGTCACGCAACACAAACACTCGCAAATTATTATTCAATAAGATCTGAGAATGTATACTAGTATCTAGATCTATTAGGAATAAATCATTGTCAAAATCAATTCATAAATTGGGGTAAAAATTATTATTCCACCTTTATTACCAACAATATACATGACATTGTATGCGCCATGCCAATGAATTTCCAGCACCGGATTGCATTTATCATGGGATAGTTTTACAATAGTGTTCTAGATTATTTTAAACTTTCGATTGTAATATTTATCTGTATATATGTTTTTGAAACAGATCTTCATCTGCAATTTCCGATGAGGTCATACTCTGCTTGTCAGAAGAAATCCCCAATGGTAAAGTCCTAACATTAGGTCTAAAATTAGGAATCAGCCAAGCCACAGTTGCCCGCTTCGAATCTACAAACGTCAAGGGAACCATAGTAACTTCCATGGGTACCCGAGCTATGCTGTATGCTTGGTTAAATGCCACAGCAAGTGCAGAAGCGATCCCGACACTCAGAAGAGCACTTGAGGAATCGGATCTAGTGAGGCTGGCAGAGAAATATATGTAGCATTTTGAGTAATACAGCACTTACACAGAATTGTATATACATGATTAATGTCTTCGAGTGCATTACTGAATATGCATTGCACCCAGGTTATTAGTCACAATCGAACAGTAGACTAGCATCTCATGATTGAAATTTCAGTATTTTTCTCCTGCAGGCTTTCACATGGCAGATTTTACATGCCCATCCTATTGCCATTCGCCTTTTTTAATACATTTTCTCGTTTTCGTGTATTTTATTTCTTTCTCACTCTCTTGTACTTAAAATGGATCCTTCCATTATTGTAGCTATTTATGTGATTCGTTACAAGAGCTATTTAGCTGACAGGAAACAATTTGTTTCTTTAAACGGTTTCGATTCAGGGTTACAGAATGTTGCACGCGGCGTTCCTCAATGATCTCTCCTTGGTCCGCTCTTATTTATTTTATTGTCGAAAGTTGGATATTTGTGAAAGTCTTTTTTTATGATCTTCTGCGTCCGATTATGTGTTTAAGGATCGAGGTTATGTTGGATGTTCTTTCACTTGGAAAATCCCTTTTTATGGTGAAGTGATCTGCATAGCTGAATCAGGTTTTTTTTTTTTCTTCTCACTTATATGCTAGATTGCGTAATGACAGTAGGCAGTAGCAGTGACATTCCTTTTTTATTGTATGCATGATTAGTCCGTATGTCAACGTACGCGGCATGGGCGAGTAGCCCTATCTCGTGTGTGGTTTGATCGCAGACACCATATGAGCATCCACGTGCACTGACGTGTAGTAGATAGGGCAAGACTTTGTTTTTGGAAATCCTTCGGGTATGTAGAGTTATACTTGTAGAGGCAATTTTGAGACATTAAGAAGTCACTTAGGATTCACAAAGGAGTTTATATATAATCTTTCATTCGTTTAAGTAGAGTATATGGATGATTTTATGCCACAAGTTTGATGTCGTGTGTACACGTTTATGAATCGTTTTTAGATGTAACAAGTTGAAAGTTATCAGTGAATTTGCATGTGATATTTGTTGAGATTGAAAATAGACAGTGAACTCACTGTTGTATTTGCTTTGTTAATTATTTCATGTTTTGTAATAACAAGTGCATAAACTTGCTTGTCTTTAGTAGTTGAAGAAAATTATAAACTCAGTTAATTTTTACTAAGCTCTTGGTAGTTATGAACGTAGAGGGCAGCATTGTGTAAACAAAGATGGCGGCGCCCGTGAATCGTAGATACCGACTTATGGTATGAGAGTGTGTTTTTGTAGTATAATCATAGATATTGAATCTCGATACAGTTTTTTCCGTAGATAACATGCTTCATTATATATATAATACTTAGTGTATTTTTGATGTAGGTTTCTATGGTTACGGGTGTATTGACTTTTTATTTACAGCTGGGAGATTGGGACTACAGCTGGTCCAGGCTAGGTATCTCTAATGTCTGCATTTCTGCTCGTAGCAGTGGCGGGTAGTGAGTGACAGTGGAGTTTGCAGTTTCGTTGCAGCCTGTTGCTTGACATTTGCTTGCCTTTGGTAGGCATCTTTTGATATTGGTTTGATACTTAATCAAACAGTGATACTTTTGATGTTTATCATGCAGTATAGTAATGCCTTATAATAATAAGCTATTTGATCAATGCTTTATCATGTTTTGTAAATGATTTCAAATAATGTTATAAAGGATGATTTATGAGGGAATTAATTGATCCCTTATCAGAAGTTTTGTGAAGATAATCCATTATATGGAGTTAAGTGTAATTGTGTTGTCTTGTATCTTGTTAATGATTTACATAAACATTATTTGAATATTAGGAATCTCTAACTTAGTAGAAGTACGAGAGACACATATATTATTTGCAACAAAATATGATCATTCAATGACTGGAAGTCTAGTTCGTTTCTATACAATGTATAATTATGAAAAAATATATTGAATGTGTATATGAACAATGCCATTGAACTGTTTGAATCTGTAATGCGATACAAGTGATTTATCACCGGCTTTTTCTGTATCTGTACAGGGTTTTTTTTTGTTTTGACACAGAATAAACCTCAATGACCTTATAGCTGCTGTCCTGTTTCATCATTGAACTATCCGGTCCCTAGCAAGGTCCAACCCCACCCACGACAGTAATGACTTTAATTTCTCATCTGATGTGGTGTCATTCATATTATTTGCTAATGATTTCAGCTTGCATTACTCATACACAAATCCACAAGCTCTGTTAGAAACGGTAAATTTAGAACTAAGTAAAAATAACATTGTGGGTTCGAGCCAAAAAAGTGTCTTTAAATCTGTTTTTAGTAATGCAATTAAAATGCTTCCAGGAAATGATAGATAGGGTGTCATCGACAAAATTCCATTGTTTGCACATTGATAAGCAAATAAGTAGGAAAATTCATTTACATTCTGGAAGACATTGTCAAAAAACAGTGGTGTTAATTCATAAATTAAAATCAGTTTGTCCTAAAGACATTCTTCTTCTAATCTATTCAACATTAATCCTTCCCTATCTTAATGATGGTGTTCTTGCTTGGGGTAACTCTCTTAAAACAAATCTTGAAAAATTATACTTGATTCAAAAGAGGATCTTGAGAATTATTTGTAACTTAATCTTTCGTACCCACACTAATCCGCTTTGTTATACTCATAGAATTCCAAAGGTGCAAGATATCTATCACCTTCAACTGGGTTCTCTAATGTACGACTTCAATTATGGTGTCCTACCACAGGCTCTTGTCAGCATTGTAAGGAGAAATAGTCAAGTTTATGACCATGCCACACGAAATGCCTCTGTGTTTCACTTACCCCAAGTAAGGACAAAGTTTACTTTTAATACCTTGGTTTCTACTGCATATAGGGTCTGGAACTCTCTTGGCTCTAGCATTGAGCAATATGTCAGTCTCTCTGCATTTAAGTGTACAATTAAAGGGAAAATAAAGTTTTGTTGCAAAGGGTGCTACTCAACATATTTTTTTTTGCGTGAGATAATGAAAAACTGAGTGTTAATTTTGAAAGAACAACCAATTTAAACCACAAAATCATCTTTTTTTGATCAACAAATATAACGATTTCTCATCTTTGTGGTACTTCACAAATGTTCGATAAGTTGAATCAGTCGTTTAATACGTATATGACGCTGTATACGTTCTATTCCAGCCACTGACTATGTCTGCTGTTTGTTGGCTTTTTCGTGTTGGTGATAATACGCACAACCAGCCGTCCCTTGTATTAGTCACCATATTTTTTTGTTTAAGTGGAGCAGAATTGGTATGTTCGTATCGGCAATATTTCAAACATTTTGTGGTCTAAAATTACCTTCATAGCAATGTTAGCTCCTAAAAGAGCACTAGAAATGTCATAAATAAGAATAAGAGCAATAACCATGCACTTTGAAAAAAGAACTCAACTATCCCTTTAAAGTTCATCTTCTCGATAAATACTATGACTTATCGAGTAGTGGCCGTTGTTTGATGTGCCTGTTGTCGATGTGCTGTAGTCTTTTATTATTTCTCATATTTTCTTTTCTCCCGTCTTTTCTAGTCTAGTCTCCGGATTTTGTATACAATTTTTTTTCTTATACCATCTTTTTTTTAATGAATTCTTAGGTAGTCACAAATATTAACTCCCGCCCAGGGGCGTCGCTAGAACATTTCCAATGGGGGGAGGGGGGGGGTATAGAGGCCACAGATATGCACATGCCTCCATTATCTACTAATATAACAAATTTCTTGCGTTAGATAGAAGAACCTGCTCAACTTCATAAAAACGTTTAAGCATCTTCTGAAAAGAATTCAAAGATAACCGTTCCCATTTGCATTTCGCAGAGAATATATAGTATTTTGTAGCTAACATTTTGGAAAAGTTTACGTTCATTACAATGATATCAACTTTACACCGTTGATATTTTTACCACAATCCTGGATAGGCCTATCTATCGTTTTATAACCAACCACACCAACTTTTAGTCATCAAACATTTTATCATTTCATTTTTTATTTTATTGCTTGTTTGTTCGACCGTGTTTGTTTCCTTTTTCGGATAGATTATGGTTTCATTGAAATAAAATATTAATTATCTTCAAACCTGGCTTAAAAAGGAAATCGGTCAAATTGCCAATATATACAATATCACACATGAAATACGATTAGGCTTCGAGGATCCAAATAAAACGTTTCCTTTTCACCTTCGAGATCTGAATATTGATACATGCAATTGTAAAAGAAGCTCAGTAGGTAATATCACATGGAGATGTGTTACATGCCCTGTGTATGAATATGATTATGTCAATAGTGTAACCTTATTGTTATTTCAAAAGTATATATTCGAGCAAAGTCATTAAACAACCTACGTACAGTTTCAACTTTGTACCTATTCCCGGAGAAATAAACGTTATACAAACAATGCACATCCAGAATTTATTGAAATTACCTTTGTATTTTATGACACCTATACATGGTTTGTGAACGGGCAAGGGGAAACGTCACCCCGAGCTAAATGATAACAAGAAATAAAAATCCCGAGTAAGAGAGAGAGAAAAAAAGAAAGATAACTATATAGAGAGAGTTAGAGATAGAGAGAGGGAATAAGCAAGAGAGAAGGAAAGAAAGAGAGAGGGAGAGAGAGTGATAAAGACAGATATAGAAAGAGGGGTGGAGAGAGAAAGACAGCGAGTGAGAGAAGGGGGAGGCTTCTATTTAAAGAAACCGACAACAACATAAAACATGTATTTCTTTGTTGTGTCGGTCTTGTGTAACTTATAAAATGTTCTCTTGTTCTAGTTTTGTCATGCATTTCTTTATTTTCATTGGCTTCGTGGGCTATTTTGTTTACTTTAACATTCCCTGAAATAGAAAAGGAGAGGGTAGGAAATGTAAACAGAAGATGATTGCAGCCATTCCACACGCCCATCCAACTTGACAGCGATATCTTTATTCTCACGTTAGAGTCTGCCACCCCAACCCCGCCCCACTTTCTATGACATTAGCATCCCCTCATTTTCTTGAGTCTTGCTACCCCCTGCAGGCAGTTGATGTGATATCTATTAAAGTACGTGCAGCTCTAAAATTAACCTTTGAGCTACAAGATGGGACACGTACATTACAACAGTAACAACTTTTGTCGTATAGGCGTAGGTTAGAATCTCCCGAGCTAAGCTCCTTAAACAAAATGGCGGAAAATGTCTTATCCTGGATATTGGACAAGGGTGCCAGTATCCTGTCAGACGACAAAGAAGACAAGTCCGACGTCTTACTAAACGCAATTAAAGATGGCGACCTAAACATTGTTACTATACTCATCGGCGTTGTCTCAGACATGAACAAAATGAAGTTTGAAGGAGAGTCGCTTCTGAGCGTAGCCGTATTCAGTGGACACGCTAGTATAGTAAAACTCGTTGTCAGCAAAGGAGCAGATATTGAGGGCATTGATGATGATGGTTTGACGCCGTTGCATGTAGCTTGCAGAGAGGGTCATCTCGAGATTGTTAAGTTTCTCGTCTCTAAGGGAGGGGACATCAATCGACAAACCTTTGACGGGATGACTCCATTTGCAATGGCGACCAAACGAGGAAATGTTGATGTTCTGAAGTACCTTATAAGCAAGGGAGTCGAAATTGAGAGGCCCGACAAGAAAGGCAAGCCACCGCTCATCTGGGCAAGTGCCCGAGGGCATCTATCCACAGTTAATTATCTCCTTAAAATGGGTGCAAATGTCAATGGCGCCGACAAACGCGGCTGGACATCACTGCATTTTTCCATCAAGTACGATCGTCTAGATGTCACCAAAAGTCTCGTATCTGCAAGAGCCGATATCAACTGGCCAGATAAAGACGGGACAACGCCGCTTCATATTGCTTCTGCTGGAGGTCATCACAACGTCGTCTGTTTAATTTTACAGGAAAAAAAGGTAGCGTGTATAGTCTAAGGTCTTTTCGAAATAGTTTGGATGCCAATTACATATTAAATTAATTTGGTTTAATCGACCTTCTCCGGTATAGATTTAAACATCCACATTCTTAAATCGTGAGCTCAAAATTTGTCTGACGTATAGCTTTGTTTTTTAATAGATCATTGACACATTACGTCATTTTAGCAGCACTGGATTGGCCTGTTTCGGACTCTCCCAACAGTGTCTTTAAATTGCCAACATAGGCACTAGTTGTTCGTAAAACGTCTTGTACATTGTATCTTTGTCAACTTTGCGTTCGAATTGTGGTCTCCCCCCCCCCTCCCCGTTTTTGTGTGGATATAATTATTGTTCAATTATGAACATATAATTGTTGACATAAGTTTTTCATGAAGTTTTTCTGAAGTTTCCAAAATAATAAATGTTTCCTTGTCTGCCAATAGTCTAGTTTGAAAAGCTGAACTTACATTTATTTAGCAGGCCTATATTAAAGGGATTTGGTATCTCTGTCTCAGATTCTGAAACAATTTCCCGGATTTAGCTCATGCTGTAATCATAAGTATAAACCTTTAAGTCTGTCAGGATTCCCATGACTTTTACAAGCCGATCGCCTGTCTGATTATCAAGATATTAAAGATTGAAAATCGAAATTTCAAAAACTCGTTTTCCTAACGGTTTTTAAAACACTACAGCCTATTGGGGACAATGAGTATGGTAAATCCGGTCACTCAAAGATTTTTACTTTTTTAAGGCACTTCATGATCATATGTAAGCGCAATTTGTTTAGGGCTTCAATATTACACCATATCACAGACACTGATAACACGTAGGGCCATGCATCTCAGATTCAACATGTTTAAATGATGCCTTTAATGAATTGACTATAGGAGGGGAACGAGAAGTGTCTTTCAGTAAAAGAAAACATGATGCAGGACATTTCAGAGGCATTGTTCCGACTTTCTTACCTATTCTGTACAGGGTGGCGAGCTCGTGAACAGACCGAACGCAAGAGGTGAAACTCCCCTACATGTCGCCACCTCTAATGGCTTCACGTCGATCATTGATATCCTGATTTCCCAAGGAGGTGACCTTAATGCCCAGACGAATGAACATCAAACCTGCTTGCATCTTGCAGCAAAACTTTGTGAGGGATCAACCGATGTGGAAGTCACCAAAGAACTCTCTAAGGTATGATAGATTTTAAAAGTGCAAGTACTTTGACTACTTACCGAAGAAGGGTGTGGTACTTCTTAAAAATGGACATGTATTTATCATAATTTTTCTAGTAATACCCTTAAAGTGTTCTTGTAAATCAACAAAAAGGAGATGTCAAATAAAAGTTATCTTCCCAAATAAGTTTCAACTTATTCATTCTCTTTCACTTTCTTTCCCTTGTTCTTTCCTCTTCAGTTTCTTTCGCTCTACTGCCGTCTATATTTAGATTGGTCTCTTTAAGTGGAAGCACCGGCCTGTACTTGTTAAGTATCTTGGCAGTTTCGAGGTTCGGTCCTTGCTCGGTGCTTAAATCATGGAACATGGTGTCGTCCCCAAACTTGTCCCTCTCCATCCAGTCTTACCTTGTAACGCTGGGGATAATGATAATTGCAGGGCCCAAGGAATAGCAAATCTCTTTTATTGATTTAAATCTCCCAATTTCTTTAGCTGATGGCTGGAAATTCGAAGGATGCACTTGTGCCAGGCCAGGCCCTGATGAAACGTTTGATTAAGAAGGGCGCCGACGTCAACATAGCCGACAAGGCTAAGAAGAAGCCACTTGAATATCTCTCACGCAAGATGGCAAATTTAGTGGTCAGGTGAGAATGGAAAACTAAATATAGTTTTTAATATCTTCTTTTAAATAACTTTTTTCATGAAGATATCATGAAAAGATTTATATTTAGACCACCTCTTTTTCTTTTATTATACAAATGTATGTTCAATGATAAGCATTGACAAAAAATCTAGTTTTCTGAAATAAACGATAAATGACGTATTATAAAGATTTATCATTTACTTTATACTTTCGTGAGGATAAAGCATACAATATTTTACATAAAGTACATGAATACGCTTTGCCAATAATCGTCCTCTGTCAGTGATATCATTCGATAGCTTTACCACAAGGTTCGAGATTATTCAACTGTTTCCATTGTAATACTAATGTATTATGTGTTTAAAGATCAGAAATTGATAAATTTACAAGCTTTGGTGTTGCACATAGGAAGATGATATTTATGTTTGTGTCTATTGATCTGCATAAACGACAAACAAGCGACACTACCTATCGGGGTTTCAGGCAAATGAATAGTTACAGTTAATATAAGTATTTACTTGATTTTCTTTACTCAAACTACAGTCAACCGCTAACAGAGAGCCATGAACTTGGAGGACGCAGAACCGGAGGTGCTTCTGATAATGTTGACGACAGAAAAGGTAGCAAGGTGGTTTCGAAAACCCATCCCGATCCCATTCCATCCCATCTCATACTGAGCTTGTCTGAAGAAATACCCAATGATAAAGTCTTAACGTTAGGTATAAACTTAGGACTCGGCCAAGCAAAGGCTGCCCGGTACGAATCTACGAACGGCAAGGGTACCGAAGTAACTTCCATCGGTACACGAAAAATGTTGTTTTCTTGGTCCATCGGCACGAAAGGTGATAAAGCAATCCCGACACTCAAAGAAGCACTTCAGAAATCGGGAATGGCGTGGTTGGCAGAAAAATATCTATAGCATTTTATTTAACCGTCGATGCTGGATTAAAATAATAATTGTTCCCGTTTCTTTTAAAGCTTTCCTTGATCACCAAGAAAGCACATACTTCTAAAGGCCTATATTTTGTTATTTTAATTATTTTTTTCACACATTTAAAAAGGATGACCCATTCAATAAAAATGCTGTCGACTCAAGCATTCTTGCTTATGATAGTTGGCCTCTGCATTTATCTTGTTTATTTTTTACTTACTTCCATACTTTCAAGCTTTCAATTATGCATTGTTATTTGTGTGTATTCAAGTTGTCACTCTTTATTTTATGTAAATCAATTATATTATATACTTTTATTGTTATTTGAATGTTTTATATTTGATTTATCAATAAATGCAGAAACATCTGCTAAAAAAAGGGGTTTTCAATGGGTTCCCCTACAAAGGTAACTGCACATATGATAAAAAAAAAGTTATATTAAAACAACAAATGAAATACAATTATATGGTTGTACACAACATGAAGTTGAAACAAGATTTTAGGAATTTTAGTGACATCCTGTATATCTATCAATCCACAAAAAGTTATTTTCTCAAAAATCTTGTGAAAAGAGGTGATAAATATTATTTTTTCTCTATGGGCAGAAGTGAAGTTGTATATTTCTATAATTTTTGTTTACCAGTATGGAACTATCAAATGACAGTTTTCGCCGTTCGCTTACTAGATGTCTTTTATATGACACATATCTGTCAAATTTGCCAACTTTTAGTGGTAAAAAAATAAGATTTGTTTAACATATATTGCACATAACATTTTCGTTTTGTTAGTTGTTAAAGATCCTATCCGATGAAAATACAACTTGATATAAATGGAAACCTGAATGAATGTAGAATATAAATATAAAGGAATACAACGTTTTTTACCCTTTCATCATTGCACCAAAGCAAATAAAATCCTCATTTTCCGCACCCCTCCTAAATTACCAGTCAACAGGGGTCAAATTTGACGAAGTTACAGTGAAAGATATAACTTGTGGACCATATTGATTTACCTAATAGGTGCTGAGGCGAAAATCATTATGAATATGCGTACTCTACAAAAGAGGAAGTAATCAAGTCGATAGCAAGTTTTAAGTCGACAACTTCCGATTTTCAAAGCCTTAGATTTTGAAATTTCCAGAGATCTGATACTCCTCTGACAGACACTAAAATGGCATATAATTGATACTCTTGTCATTGACGGCTTATAAGCTTTCCGTTGATATTTAATTCATCCATTTTAATTTTTCAGTTCGGATATGGCCTTAAATAAAAACAAAAATTTCCAAACAGGTATAAGCATAAATATATTTATGTGAAAATATTGTATCGCTTTCGCATGTTTCATTCAAGATTTTCTTTAGACAATATATAAATAGTCTGATTTGTGTAAGTACAGAGCAATTAGGAGATGACTTAGCAAAATATATCTCAGTGTTGGCAATGATTGAAACTTCCAAATGTATAACTTTTTTGTTTTTATCATTTGTATCGGTTTTTGCTCAATAAACGTCTACTGATCTGTTTCTCCAAATTCTCTTCTCCTATTACAGCTAACTTAGAGATAGAGAGAGCGATGTAATTGTATAAAAAGGATGTGTAGTCTGCTACTAATGTTCAACCATTTACCTTAAAAACAATTTGAAAATTAACAATGAACTCAAGAGAGACGACAATGTTTACAAATATTTAAAAGCAAAATTTAATAATTCTTTACAAGTATCCTTTTATAATCAAACATTTTAGTCACCTGTAAGACATGATAAATTGTTATGAAGCAAAAGAAACCATACAAATAGGTCATGCAATAATTCCTAAGTATAAACTTTGTAAAAGCAAAAGTAAAACACTTGTACAAAAGATACGAAAAATGGGCACCCGATATGCTATACAGCGCTACAAATTTAGCCGCTCAGATATGACTGGGCTAATAATGTTGGAGCGCTGGAAGCATCAAGGCGTGATAGACATGGATGCTATACAAGTAGACATCAATTTTATTATAATTATTATCTTGTATTATTATTAATATTGTTATTATCATTATTATCACTTTATAACATAAACTTGCTGAATTAAAGTTTAAGTTTGACACTGTGATTCACAAAAATGTTTTAATGAAGTATTTACAAACATTAAATGTACAGAGTTAATGTTTCCGTTCGCAGGCGCCGCTATTATGTTTTACTTAATAAATCATGAATAACAGAAATAATGCATCCCCCCCCCACCGCATAGGGATATATGCCCCAGTAAAAAAAGTTCCAAAATGTTGCATACAAACAGAAAATAATTAAAAGCAAACATGTAAATGGGGTTTTCACGAAACCACCAAAATCAATACAAGTTCGCGGACAAGACGTTGAGATACGTCTTAAGTTTGATATACGCTTTAATAGGATGTCGTTGAAGTTGTACTTGCTACGGGCTCGTGAAACGACACCCGGGTGTATGTTGTTTATTTCACTCGTTAGCAGATGAGAAATGAGAAACCAATTACAAACTTGTATGCCATTCTCCGACCATTCTCCGACGGAAATGGCGATCAGCATTGAGTCTAGCACTATTTAAATATTTGGCAACTTTCACAGGAAGCCCAAATCCCGAGGCCAATATGGCCATCACTTAGACAAATTATTACTATGGCTTATTATTTATTACTCTTGCTCAGAAGAACAAGTAGGCGTTATCAAACAAATGGCAGTCAGACAAAACCAAGCACGTTTAAATACGCCGAAAACGCCATATAACGCACGATGAACATCGAACCTCCAACGATAAAGACGAGGCAATGTGTAAAAAAAGGCTTCTGGAAAATCTTGGAAGGTCAACCTGTTGTTGATACAGGCCCCGTGGAACAAAAAAAGTCTTGAATTTCCTTAAATGATTTGTCATATAAATAACTAATTGACAAACATTTCAAGTAAATATATCCACATCATTTTTGATATGTTCAACAACAGGGCGAGAATGCAAGATTGTTCCCCATGTCTTGCTTTGAACCATCGACGGCTTTATCGACAGCGATCATTATATGCTATTTTCGGCGTATTTTCCAGTGCTCAGTTTTTCGAAATTGTGTCTTACTGAACGGGTTTGGTATAATGGTTAACATGTTTTGCACGAGGTGTAAGGCTTTCCGGAAGTCCGAACAAATCATTGAAGTAATCTGCACCTATTCTGTACCTCGATGCAAGGTTCATCTAACCACAGCCACTCATACGTTGATCTTGGGACTACACTTATTACCGCCTCGCATCAGGAGCAAGATGGCGGCTGAGTGACCTCATGTTCATTGACGAATATGCCTATCCATAATGGAGTCCAGTCCACACGATCGCAACTACTTTCAGAAAATCAACCCAAGGCAACTCCGATAGCCTTGTGCGTCACACATTGATATACGCGAATATGACAACGAGGTATTAATTAACCAGGTAGTGTTTCACAAAGATCTTAAGTCGAACTTAACTCTAGGTTGGACTAAAAAATTATGGAGAGCCATTTGTAGCCTTAAAATAAATATATTCAAAAGTGAAAATTCAAGTATTTTAGACTTTTTTTTATAAATTCCACATCAAGAACATGAAATCCCCCAAGATAATAAAAAATATGAATGATTTGAATCAACATTTTATGACTTTTAAAATATTTTTTACAAAATATTTTTAATGATAGTAACGGCTTTCCATAATTGTTAAGTCCAACTTAGAGATACGTTCAACTTAGAGATAAGTTCAACTTAGGATCTTTGTGAAACACCCCCAGAACATGATTTTCTATGAGATGTAGATGCAAAATAGGATATTGAAATTGCCCTTGTGTTCATTGTTTTCCTCAAAAATAGTTGCGATCATGTTAGTGGCATTCTACCCAAAATGCACCTCGCCCCATGATGACGAAACAGAGTGCGTGTCCAAATAACTACCGTCCCCTACATCCGGGTTAGTTGGGGCTTTGTTTTTTGCTTTGTATTCGATGATGAAATATACGAGCATTATGATGCAGATGACGAGCATGATGATTCCGATGATGACGCCCGCTATCGACCAGTTCTTCGTCGATTTCGAAGCTTCCAGTGAGCCTTCGTAGTCGCCTTCTTTGTATTTGTCTTTTACCTAGTAGAGGATGGTAAGAAGGAATACACTTTATTAAAGTTGCTCAAGCGTAGGTATATAGAGGGCAGCACACGGACGTACGTACTCTGGTACGCACAGGAGCGTAATACCCATTGGCTCAGTGTTATGTAGTGATCGTTGCCTACTTCACGAACGACAATAATATACCCACGCATGAGCATCTTTAAAGAACAGTTACGTTTGATCATTCAAAAGAAATATGTGCCTAGGAGGTGTACACTAAAGGATCCCCCACAAAATTGACACTTTATTGATTTTTATATTTTCTTTACAAACGTAAATGTTTTCGTTTATTTATGGGACATTGACATTTCATACATTTATCAAATACATGACATGACATTGTATAGAGATCTTTTAGAGCTCAAGTTACACGCTTTAATTGCACTTTAATATTTTGGGGGATATTATTTAGCATTTTAAGAATCCCTGAAGGGGAAGCGACAGGGTGTTGAATAAAAGTGAATTTGTGATAACGTGAGATCATCAATAAAACACATCGAATACGAGTTTGTTTTACACAGCTCTCCATGCACATCTGTAAAAAAAAAAATCAATCAATTTAAAAAAAAAAACACTCTCTCTCTCTCTCTCTCTCTCTCTCTGTCTCTCTCCCTTCAACGCACCCACACCCCACGCGCTTGTGGTGTCAATCGAGTACCCATTATGAACACATCAGTATGTTATTATATGTTTGAGGGCACACAATGTTTGTATGAATATAACATCCCTAGAACGATCTGGAAATCTGTCGCCCAACCGAGGACCTAATATTCCTCTGCAAATAGAGCACATATCATAATAAATGTATCCCTGATTCTAAACATTTGTTTAAAACCGAAGGCGTCCTCGGTTTGTAAGTGTTCGTCAAAGTGAAAAGTATAGTTTTATTCGAATTTGAATTGAGTTTATTTATTTAACTTGCTCGAATGTATACAGGACAAAAATTGAGAATGTTAATGCTAGAAAATAGTATTGTAAAAAATGTTGTAGTTTAGTTACATTATTGACAACTGAATAACTTTGGCAGTTTGAAAATGAGGGGCTTTTTAAGAAGCGTGGTATGTAATGGAAATCCCCTCTTTAAACTTAAGTACGTCTTAATGTAATTTGTTTAAGAGATTATTCATATTCAACAATCCAGTATGAACCTGTGTGTGTTTAAAAAAAAATTAATCCCGCTATATATTTGTATATTTTCTCACTTGAAGGTACATAGCCCTGAGCCCTACAATGGAAATTACATATTTTAATAAATGAGACTAAAAAAATCACACATTATATATATATTAGAATTACCAGGTAGTCCAATGAAATTGAATATACCCCTCCCCCCCCCCCCCCCCCCCCCCATTTCAAATATCTTAATTCAGCCACTAAGCCGAAATATTGAATAAATAATTGCCATAACTGTTTAACTTTCGTGCAGTTCAGAATTAAATGTAAGTAATACTCTGTCTTTTTATTACAAAATGAACAGTAACTGCCCCCCACAAACACAAACCTTCACCTCCACCAAAAAACACGCACACAACACACCCCACACAAACACTCACATCCACACAATCATAAACACGCACACACACACCCCAAATCAACCTTCAGCTAAGGTTGACTAACTAACATACCTGAATTGATTTGATGAGAGCGACTATACCGATAGGCAGGCAGCAGAAAATAGTGACGAAAAGAGCGAAGAAGAGATGATCGGTCGGCATTGCCTGGGTGTTTCTCAACATCTCCACCGATGAAGGCGACTTTCGAATAGAAACATAAAACATTAATATTATAACTTCAGGCTAGTGTGTTGTTACTTGCCAATGTTAGATATCCTAAAGAGTAATATGGTATTTACATGTTTGAGTATTTACGAAAGGCAAAATGGAGATATGCTGCAGGGCGGTCTTTAGCACACCTTCCCCTGAAATGAATACAAATGACAGAAAAGTGTAGAGTTGAGAGAAAGGGAAGGGTGTCATATAACAGTTAGTAGTAGTTAAATGTTCTACATAATTAACAACATGAATAATCGGTCTAATTTCTTTACCAGCACCTTAAAACAACAAAAAAACGCCTGGTACTTGAGCAAATTTGATAAAGTTAAATTTATTTCTGTGTGTACTATTTTGTATCAAATTGAAACTCATTTGAACAGGAAACAAACAAATATATCTACATGTACGTTTCCCACAGCTACGCATACAATAAATTGTTAATTTCGTTATATTATTGTATGGTTCTGTCCTGGTCTCTTCAACAGTGTTAAAGTACTTCAGAACCATTTATACATGGTTTCCAAACCAATGTGGCTTAGGAAGGATTTGCACAGGTGCGCCATCTACGTCGCCCTCATAGATATAACTTTCTTTAAAGGGAAAATGACCCCTTGTTTGAAGTTCATAATGATAAACTGAGCTGAAGAAAACATCAGTGAACCATTGCTGAGAATGAAGTAGAGATAGATAAAGCAATGATGGCTTAAATCAGTGCTCCCTGAAACACATATTAGTAAATCTGCAATTTCTCCTACGCGTATAGCTTTCCATTAGTATACCGTGAATACTGAGAATCACGTCAAAATACCGCTATTCTTTGTATAGATAGGTTTTTTTCTCCATAAAAAGGGATATACTTTGGGAACAGTTGTGATGAAATGTTTTTTTTTACGACAAAACCATTGGAAAGCTGCTGAACGACGAAATGAAGGAGTCACCAAAATGTGTTTAATTGGGTATAGTAAAAGCTTAATAATTTATTATCCTCATTTACTTCATGTTAGAAAATTGTAGGGTAATTGTCATTACAGATATTAGTAAATTTAGTTGATACTACAATCAAACTTACCTTCGATCTTCCTGTAATGAAAGAGAAATGAAAAACAAAACATTATTATTTAGCAAGGTAAAATCATATCAGAAATAACAAGTTGTCCAAAACGGCGGGTTCAGGGAGTTTGAAAACATTTATATTCTAATCAAACTGTTTGAGACCATTGCCTGCATAAAAAGTAGTTTTACATTTACCACGCTGCCTCCCCCCCCCCCCCTCCAACACACACACACACACACACTCACCATCACGAAATTACAATATTAAGCTACAAATATTGTATTTCTATGTTTAGTAGTAGAAGTAGAAGTAGTAATAGTAGTAGTAATAGTAGTAGTAGTAGTAGTGATAGTGGTGGTGGTAGTAGTAGTAGTAGTAATAGTAGTAGTGGTAATAGTATTTAACACCAGTTTGATAAAACGTGATATCAATAACAAGTTACAAGCTACTGAGCCATGGCATCTGATTGGCTGAGAGCAAATTTGTCATAGAAATTTAGCATTTGTTATTGATAAAAAGTTTTATGAAACGGGCACCAGTATATACATCATACAGAGAAACTTGTATTTTCAAATCATGCCGGAGCTGACTAGCCTTTAAGGCATTCCGATGGTGCATCCCACCGCTGCCGACATGCAGGGTACATGTCATTCCAATAGGTCATCTGCCTTCATCATCTGCCGTATCTATACACGGGGAATATCTTCCATTCCAAGAGGTTACTACAAAGCCCTGCTCTTAGTAAGTTGCACGACAGTAGATGAACGATTACATCGTACTTTTAACGTATGTAGTCTACTAGAATATTTTTAAAGGGACTTGGTAAAATTGTTTAGATGAGAGATAGTGGTGCTAAGGTAGTGACTCCAATGCTAGATGTACAATTAAAGATAATCTGAAAATTTGAGTGAAAACGGACCATTATTCAAGGTACAAATTGGGAAAAACTGATCTGATCGATTCCTTAATTCTCCCAACTTTATTATTACAATTTAATTACATTTTAGGTGAATGGAAATCTCACAAAGCAATACAATTGCTCTACATTCCATTCCAGACATTTAAGTGTTGACAGATTTTTTTATAGCCTGTTTTATGTCTTTTTTTTCAAAAATGGTTGGGAAAATTTACTGTTAATCACTGTTAGAGGGTGTCGTACATCGACGCATTCAAAGAAAACCATAGATATCTTCTTGGTTTGAGAATTTGTTCAGAATTTTTTGCATGTCAGAGGGTTAGTACAGTAGAAGGAATATAGTAAGTAAAATTTTATACAACAATTAAGCGATTTTCTTCATCAACCTTAAACAATGTTACTAAGTCACTTTAAGGCACTTCACGCATTCTGAACAATCTTGTAAATGTTACCTCCAAACGAAATATTGTCCTCATCAATTAATTCTACATCGATTCCATTTCGTTTGAAAATACGACAGAGAAGACTCGCTTCAAATTAGTCTAACACATTGAGGGCATCCGAATTTTGAACACCATCATGTTTAAAAGTATGTTTTCCAAAGTCCAATTAACATTTCCTAACGAGTACGTAATGTTATGTTTCTGTGGGTACACCCCGTACATCTATACTCATCTCGAGTTTCAAGAGTTCGTAACTTTTTATGTTTGTTCACAACGAACTGCTTCCTGGTTATTTTGCTGCTTACACCCAAGCTAACGTTTTATGTCCATTTAATGTCGATACACCAACAGGGTCCCGTCCTACAAAGAGTCGTGAGTGATCAGAATCAATCGTAAGTCCTCTTCTCAATCGCAAGCTCACTGTCCCTTATCTCTTGTGTACATAGTTGGGATTGACATCAATCGCAAATATGATGACAAGTGACAGGTTTGGCGAATAAACTTCATATATTTGTGGAATAGTATTGCACGTATCTGTACACGTAGGTTCTTTGGTTATAAGTGTGAACACGGTTTATGTTTGATGTAAATGAGGAATGCAGTTAAGCCCTAACACAGGTTTAAAGGGGGACAGTATGAACAGTCAGACCAGTAACAGCGCCATATATCACCTTGCTCACTCCAATCAGAAAATGCCTGAAAATGATGTGGCTTAAAGGGGGCCTGTTCGTGTGATGTGTTGAACCCATGCAGGTGGCATAATAAGCACAACGTTTTGCTTCAAACTGTAAATAGTTGTACTTAGGCATTTTGAAGTTTATTCATATTTTTCACTTCACTTCAAATTCTTCATATTCTTCACTTCAAATTAGTCAAAAGCAGTGGGGGGAGGCATCCAAAAATGAAATGAAATCCATATGAAATATGGATAAAATAAATTTCGTTTTGCTAATTAGGACGAGCGTATAGGACAGCCGCTAAACAGAGACCTCAGTGCCTCTTAAATAACTACATGTATATTCGATTCGAATCTACAACGTTTCATTAATAATAAATAAATATTGCCTTTTTTAAATTTCATTAAACAAATATCACAGTGCATTTTTTTTTAAACATTCCATTCACTTAATATTTCATCTATTTCGTTGACCACATTTTGTACCCCTTTTTGTACACACGTCACAACATGTATGAAAAAGGTATTAACGAAATAGAAGAAATATGAAGTGAATGCAGATTTTGTTGTTGCTGTGTGTGTGTGGGGGGGGGGGTCGTTTCGGAGGGGGATTCTTGACGGTGCTGTAGCGGACATAGGAAGATTTGCCATCTGTTTAACATGAACAGATTTAGCTGTTACATCAGTTAGACACACTCTAGTTTTGTATGGGAAAAAGGAAGCATGCATGTTTTTGTGCAAATGTTTCTGCATTCTAATTGGGTAAACAAATAATATACACATAAATGGGTAAAAGTGACCAAGTATTTGGTATATTTTACCCGGTCAACACGACTTGTATTTGCGGATCAACGTTCCAACTTGTACCGGTTGTTAAATGCCATTCTACACGAAGAGCTGAAGCTAGAATTACGTCCGTTATGTTATACTATCCGGTGCAGTAGTATGTGGATTGAAGATAATGATAATCTAGAAATCTTAGATCAGCTCCATTAACAAAAGAAATGTATGATTGATCAAGAGGGAATCGTAAAAATGTGTGTAAGCTAAAAGGTTTTAAAGATAATGATCTGGAAAATTGTATATCAGATCATGCTGTGCAGGAAATGATATATCTTTGGTCTCATGATATTAATTACTTTGATTCTTTGCATTCCCTTAAATCACGAAAAGGGGAACATTTGAATACAGTCGCAGATGATTGTGTTCTTACACATATCCAGCTTTTCTCTTTTCTTTTTCACTGGTCTTGTTTTAGAAGCTTTTGAGTAGTTTATTTATGGGTGTGTGTCTGTAGTGTACCACTGTTGGGAGTTTCGTTTTTCATCACAGCGCAGGAGATTATATTTGTATAGAAGTTGCGCTATATAAATAAATTGATCTAATTATTTACTATCATGAAAACCAGTTTTTAAAGAAGATCACATAATGTCCTAATCAATACCTTTTGTACTCCATGGGAACATGTTACATTCATTGATTACAAATCCTGCCTTTTGTTAAACGTCTTTCATACTTTTTACGATTAATTTGTATTTTGTGATAACGATAATAAAATCAATTACGATGTGTTGTAGTTTCTCTTCAGCAATAATAACAAAAGCCATTTGGAATCGCTTGGACACATTTTAATAGCACTATGTGATATGCGCTCTAAAAGAATAGGAGAATAATCTGCTGTATCTTTTGTGTGTGCATCATTGAAGCGAAAAGTTATTGTAGGCTCATGTGTATGACGTGAACGAATAAAAAGGAAAACACAAATTTCATAGCATTTGGCTATATTTATCCACCGTACACCTTGTTTCTTGTAGTGTAACGCGAATCACTTACACGAGAAAGCCATGTAAACGCGACTCACTTAGACGAAAAAGCCATGTTAACGCAACTCACTTTATTTAGAAAGCCATGTAAACGCGATTCATTTAAATGAAAAGGCATATATCACCTTGTTCCTTGTAGTGTAAACGCGACTTACTTAAATGAGAAAGCTATTTAAACGCGACTCACTTAAACGAGAAAGCCATGTAAACGCGACTCGCTGAAATGAGAGAGACATGTACACGCGTCTCACTTAAATAAGTTGGCCATGTAAGCTCGACTCACTAAAACGAGAAAGCCATGTAGACGCGACTAACCTAAATAAGATTGCCGTGTAAACGCAACTCACTGAAATGAGAAAGCCATGCCTTCACCCTTGAATGAAGACGAATTATTAATTCACATTGATTTCTGCGGAATATCAATCTCCACCCGTCGTGAAAGGAGGGATGTAGTTACATATAATATAGTGTACAGAACGTAAGTGTATTATCGTATGAACCTGATCATGTACTCACTACAGGAATCTGAGGTTTTATTGGCTTCTTTCCTCGCAAGAGGAATAGAATTGTCATATATAAAATCATTCATAATATTGTAATGATAAAGGGAATAATGTTCTATTTCTTTCATCTGATTCCAAAGTGACAGACAGAAGAGATTTGCAAAATATAAATATATAGATGTAGTAGTAGTAGTAGTAGAGGTAGAAGTAGGAGTAGGCGTAGTAGTAGTAGTATTACATAGTAGTAGTAGTAGTAGAAGTAGTAGTAGTAATAGTAGTAGTAGTAGTAGTAGTAGTAGTAGAAGTAGTAGTAGTAAAAGTAGTAGTAGTAGTAGTAGAGGTAGAAGTAGGAGTAGGCGTAGTAGTAGTAGTATTACATAGTAGTAGTAGTAGTAGTAGTAGTAGTAGTAGTAGTAGTAGTAGTAAAAGTAGTAGTAGTAGTAGTAGTAGTAGTAGTAGTAGTAGTAGTAGTAGTAAAGTAGGAGTAGTAATACAGTAGTAGTGTAGTAGAAGTAGTAGTAGTAGTACTAGTGGTAGAAGTAGAAGTAGTAGTAGTAGTAGTAGTAGTAGTAGTAGTAGTAGTAGTAGTAGTAGTAGTAGTAAAAAATAGTAGTAGAAGTAGTAGTGGGAGTAGTAGAAATCCATTAAAATTCTGATTTTTTTTTTCAATCATATGTCTACCCAGATCCTTGATAGTTCAGATTTTAAAAGTGCTGATGTTTACACCAAATGCTATTTTAAATTCTTCCAAAATCGGATCGCAGTTAGATTGAAGTTAGAGTCTGCGGTAAGCTTAATATAAATAAATTTCCAAACTAATACATACCTGAATCCCCCATTGTGACGTAGAGTTAGTATTCCACTCTGTCTCTATATCGATAAGCTAACTAGCCTTTTACCTGTCGAAAAAAAGAGATAAAGATGAGATGCAATATTATCATGGTAGAAATTATTAGGTGGGGTGCAACATACTAGAAGTAGACGCAAAGAGTAGGTAAAATCATTGGTAGTTTTTAGAAAGAGGGAGAGAGAGAGAAAAAAAATAGGGAAGAGAGAAAGAAAAAAAATAGAGAGAGAGAGAGAGAGGGAGAGAGAGAGGTGTGGGGAACAAAGGAGAGAGAGAGAGAGAGAGAGAGGAATAGGAAAGAGGAGAAAGAGAAAAAATAAATAGATAGAGAGAGAGAGGGGAGAGAGAGAGGGGTGTAAGAGAGAGGAAGAGAGTAGTGGGGAAGAGTAATTGAGAGAGAGGGTGACCTAAAGAGAGAAAGAGAGAGAGACGGGAGGGTGGGAGAGAGAGAGAGGGGGGGGGGAGAGCGGCGTTAGACGGACGGATGGACGGAAGGAGAAAGAAGAATAAAAGAAATAAAGAAAGAAGAATATTTTTAGTTCAGTAAATCTTATAAGTACATAAACATAATAGGAAGGAAAGAAAAAGGGAAGGGAAGAAGAAAGGGAGAGAAAGAGAGAGAGAGAGAATAAAACCGTGGCAGTTGTCGAAAAAAAAATAAAGCGAAAAAGCCCTGATGGACTCAATATCAAATGCAATCTGAAAACGAATTTACATCATCGTCTGCCAATCATTTTCCGATAAACTTCTGCAAAATCCATTTTCCCTGCCTCATAATCAACCGCTGATTGTGTTCTTACAATTGCATTTTTCAGAAAGTTCATCGACCGTAGCACGCTCATATTCGGTTAAGTGCACAACAGCCCTATTTCATGCTACGCTGTAGTACGGTCACACTACTAAGTAAAAAGCCTAAATCCGATGAGATAAAGGTTTTTTTTGGGGGGGTGACTTGTTATAATCGTAAATCGCTTCAAATTTCCGTATTTTATAATATAGAGCTCCGTGTATATGCTTGTAATTTTGTTTTTGCAAGGAAAAACAACATAAATGTTTCGTGCCTTCGGTGGTGTAGGTCAGACTGCAAGCACAGACTCTGATTTGATACTTTACCACAATCCTTAAAGCCTTGAGTAGAGCCTAGATTTGTCGATCTCTGGCTGTGCACAGCGCTTATGGTAGTCTCAATTTGCAGACATTGTTACGCACAACGACAAAGTTGTATGCTTGCAAACCAGGACCCTGTTACATAAAACTTGTTACCACAAACAAGTTTTAAGAACTGTTATAAGCTACTGAATTCATGGCATTTGGTTGGCTTTTTACATAGAAATTAAGCATTTGTTATTTAAAACAAGTTCGATGAAACAGGGCCCAGTTTTCAGTCTGGTTTCGGTCCCATCGGTAAGGCAAAGGTATTAGAATATCTTTGTGATACGCAATGCCAATGGGACGTGGTTGCATGCACGTCGAGTTTCGATTCAAATGCGAACACTGCAATCTGACATTTTCGTTAATTTTTCTTGCATAATAAATATATAACCCGTGGAGTCAACAGACATAATACACACAAATACGTAATTGTGTATTCCTTTCGTGATTGTAGCGGTAATGCAGTCTAGCAGACAAAAAGGAAACAGATATGGTATGAAGATTGAATATTGAATGCTTTGTATACGATCTCACCGTTATTATTAATAAACCACCAAACTGTAATGTATGAAAAAAAATCATTGCTTAGTATTTTCTAGAACTGTTGTATGGTTACTGTATTTGAGAAGTGTTTGCCTTCTTAATTCAGATTTAAATCTATTTTATGTTTCTTGAAGCCCTAACTCTCACTGCTTGTGTACTTACAATTTATTTCAAAGATTTAGTATTTATGATACATTATGTAAACTTCACAATTAGGGATTACTTCATTAATTATGAATTGTAAGGCGAAGATTTCAGAAAAATTTCAACTTGAAGTGTATTTAAAGAGATAGTGATCCAATGCCAAAATGATGATTTCAATTTTAGGTAATAGTATACCTCATTAACCTGTCCCAATTGCCTGGTGGCGTTTTCTTTGAACTGCAATAGCATGACCAGAGCTATGATATTATCCAGAACGTGTTTATTTCTTATCATACCAAAAGCCTATTGAACAGTTACTTTATTCAATCTAACATACATATATAACTAAGCGCTTATCTACACAAGTCTAAATAATAATAAGATAAAGTAGTCATGCAACGCCCTACAGTGCTTACTGACGACAGTCAAACTTTTCCAATACTGACATTTGCTCGACGATGATTTGCACCATCCAAAACGAACAATGATTTACTCAACAACCCGACAACAGTTTTTAAGATCATGTTTGACTTAAAATGCCCATAAATCATACATGGAATGTCCTACCTTCCCGTTCCGAAATCTGAAATCTGAAAGTTAAGTTATTCCAGTAATCCGTTACATCTGATCTAAGACTGTGTATGGTGCCCAGCCCTCGCTCAGGTCTTCAGGGCAGGATTGCGTGCGTTTTTGAGAGGGATAGAAATGTAGACCTGATCCTTCACAGATGACGGATTGTATGGTCGGCAGTCAGTGCCATGAAGATCGATCTTCTCTAATGAATCTATGTGTGTAAAGAACAATTTGTTTATTATCATCTCCCGTCAAACAGATATGTCTTTTTATTAAGATAATTATTAAAGGATTTTATTTATTATTCCATCATCGATTGATTTATTGATCTATTTATTGATCGATTTATTTATTAATTTATTTAACTATTTGTGAATTCATTTATCATTTCGTTATTTCATTTTCTTTTAAACCGAATGCTGACAACTTAGACAGAAAGAACTATTTAAGGATTGATAAAAAAAGAAAAAGAAAAAAAATCAGTATGCTTGACATTGGTTTTTATGGCATCAAATGCCTGCCATATGTTCGCGCGCATTCAGTGATGGTTGCTTCGGGAGGATGCACGCCTGTATCTTATTGAGAGGGCATCCATCATCCAAATATGTAACGTCGACTCACGGGCCTGGCTCGGCCGGAATGTTGATGCAATGACAGGGTGCATCAAGAAAAGTAAAAAGCAATACGAGCCATATTTACGTTGCATGTATATGTCTTGAATGGTTTATAGTAAATATTTTTGTTATTGCTTCCCCCAGCAAATGCTTCGTATTTCCTTAGTAGCTTGACAGGTTTCATTCATATGCAATCTATTTTTACGAGAAGAAAAGATACATGTATGCATGTATGCATATAATGTAAACATATCTATGTATATATTTGTGTTCGTGAGTATGTGCGTGTGTGTGTGTGTATTTACTTTAGATATAATCTAAATCTGCTCTCTCTTATAGTAATTGGAAAGAGATAACGGTGATGATGGTGGCGGTGGTATTATATTGATACAAATATGATGAATCAATATTATCACTTCCATCATCATTACTATTTTATATTATTATAATTATCAATATAGCTAACAATAACCACTAATGTTGATAATAACAATATAAATAATAGTAATGATTATAATATTAGTAAATACGATAATAACATTTAAATAAAAATGATCATAAAAATGATAAATATAATGTCATCGTCATCATCATCATCATCATCATCACTGTTGTAGTTATTAAGTTTTGGTATATCACTATTAAGTTTTTAAAAAAACAGTCTGCAAGCGCTTTCATTCCAAACATATATTATTTGTCTCAGCGCTGTTTATATATCTACCATCACTGCAAAGTGGAAAAGCACTTCTGCTTCGCAGGCGACCACTCTGAATATCAATTTGAGGTAAATAAATAAAATAGGCCTAATAAACCAGGTTTGTGCAAATGGATAACTCATCATACGTTGCCTTGTAATGCGATTTTTTTAATGCACTCAGAAATAAATCATATGGACTTTTCTGTGTCAAATTGAATTGATATAGATCAATATTTTTAGATGGTGGAATCTGTTATGGTAGCATCCCTTAATGGAGGTTGAAAATGCATTTATTTGTGTGCACTGTGTATGAAATCAGTATCAGAGAGATATAGGATAAAAAATATCCCTTTTTAGAGTGAGACGGTTGGAAAAGGATTATTTTACAATATCGAGGGCTCAAAAAAGGGCGTTGTTTATTATTTTCTTTACACAATGTACGTTAGAAGCGCACACATTCGCACACGTTAGGTTCATTACCTTTTTTAAAATCATCAGTTTTATGTTATACAATGTATTAACTCATTAGGTTTTGTTATTATAGACTTAATGATAATAATAACAACAACAGTGTTTATAAAGCTCTTGCCACCGAAGTCTCTATACGCGCTATAACACACAAAATACAATGATAAACAATTACATATTAAACAAAACCAAAAAAAATGAATTAAATTAAATGGTTGATGTCATGAATTGTAACTTGCACGATTAATTTAATCCATATGATAAAAATATTTGATGTCTGTCAATGTAAAAACAAAAATAATACAATACTGAGAAGATATGAACAATCATTTTATCTAGGAGACAGCGGTGCCCCTTCACAATATATAAATGCCCCCACCCCTTCAATTCCTATGCCCATGCTACGCCGTTTATGATTTCATTGCTCATGCCTTGATGACTTTCAGCAGAGAAGCGAAAGCAAAACAAAGATTACTGTCGGTCCTTTCATCATCCAATTAGGCTGTCCCCGTGATATTACACGCTCATCCCTGTTCTACATTCCAATATAATGACAGCGGATGAGTATAGCGAAGATATTATATTGTTCACTTCATGTTATTAATTCTGGGTACAAGTGAAAGGAAAATAAAAGACATGACGAATAATTAGACACAATATGTGTTGATAAAGATCACACACTTACCCACAAACACAATCGCACACACCCCCAATATACCGCAAGCGCGCGCACATACACATATAATTGATTGCGTGTATTATGCCTTCATGTTGTATTAATTTTGGATAAAAACGAAAGGAATATAAAAGAAGTGAAGCATAATTAGAAACATATCTATTGATAAAGATCATACACTCGACCACTAACACCCGCACGCGCACACCCTCTACACACCCACCCAACACTCGCACCCACACATTATCATTAATGACATGTATTATGCCTTCATGTTGTATTCATTTGGGATAAAACTGAAAGGAATATATAAGACGCGTAGTATAATTAGACACATATCTGTTGATAAAGATTACACACTCACCCACTAACACCCACCCGCCACACCCATACACCCACCCCACGCTCGCATCCACACACATATATTTGATGACGTGTACTATGCCATCATGTTGTCTTGATTTGGGATAAAAATGAAAGTAAATTAAAAATATATATATATCTATAATATGATACATATCTTTGTAAAGAGATCACACACTCCCACTAACACCCACACGTGCACCCCTACACACCCACCCCACGCTCGTGCGCACACATTATAATTGAATGCATGTATTATGCCGTCATGACTGTCTTATTTCACAGTTCGTCTGTTCAAAGCCAAAATGACGTTAACTCGATGAGTTAATGTCCGTCTGGCTCACAATAGAATGATACCATGTTTAAGAATGAAATATTTATATGTTTCAACGAAGTTTGATCAATATATATCAACATAAACTGATAAGATTGTCAATCAAGAGTGACAGATTTTTCTCATAATTTTCAAAGAAAAGTTGAAAGGGTAAATATCGATGTATGATAATTGGATTGCTCATGCTTTGATGACATTCAGCATTGAGGCAAAAGCAAAACAAGAATTACTGTCGGTGCTTTCATCATCGAATAAGACTCTCCCATTGATATCATACGCATCATCTCTGCCCTAAATTCCAATAGGATGATGTCGGATGCGTCCAAGAAAAGGATACCGCCGGGCCCCATTTCACAACATTTGTCATCAGTGACAAATGACAGTTCTTGTTATAAGCTAGTGAAATCCTTGCTTCTGATTGGTTAATTATGCATATTTGTCACTGATTTTTGTCATTTGTCATTGAAAAAAGGCTTTGTGAAACGGGTCCCTGGTCGCGAAATGTTTAACAACCATAAAGAGTCCTCGTGAGTTATGGCTAAGCCCTATATCATGAAGTGATTGTTTGTTGTTGCTTCACTTTTGTTAACTCTTGCATTACCATGGGTGCAAATATGCACCACATAATACACACATTGCCCATAGACCACCAATCTCCTTGGCACCATAAGAGTTAATGATTAACAAGGCACTGGTGAAAGTAAATATACAGGTTTTTTTTAAAGGTTTATCGTTTCTCTTTCTTTGCAACGAAGTCATTGGAAGTTTGTATAGCCTACATTCATTAATATACTATCTAAGACCTACATTAGACGAGCATTGCTTTTTAAAAGGTTCCTCATATTTCACTTCACTGCTTATTTACGGCATGTGAAACAATAAAATAATAAATTTTAAAAAATGATTATGAAATCATTCTTATGGCTAAGCCTTATACCGAGTGATTGTCTGTTGTTCCTTTAATTTTGTATATGATAAGCAATTACATAATTATATAGATTTGTAAAGGCCTATTGTTTCTCTTTGTTTGCAATTATTAATACGTCATTATTTGATTTATATGATACTTAACAGCATTTATTTCACAATCAAAGTAGACAGTGGTCAAATGAATTAAAGTTAATCAAAGATATATCACAATATAGCTTATATGGCACAGGACAACGGATTTGCCAAAGTAGGACATAACATGTAGAAATAAAACATACAGTTGTACAATTATGATACATAGTTCAATGAGATAATATGTATGAGGTAATTAACATTTTTAGAAATATTATATTAATGAAATGGAAATAAATCTGTGTTTTCTTCATATTTATCATTTACAAGTTTCTATTGGAATGAGGCAAATAGATTTAATAAGATGTTTAATAACAATGTTTGGCAATGTATTTTCTATTGTAATGCGTTTGTTATACCATGGCGGGAAAATAATTATCCTTTTAAATCCTGCAATGTAAACCAAATATACCGATATGAACATATGGATTGATGTAAATTCACAATAATCTTAATCCAAATCCAAATTTTAGATTCAATTTTGCAAACCCAAACTCAAAATGGGGTTTAAAAAAACACTGTGTTTGTATGGTAATTGATAAGGTCTCTGCTTTTATTAGTTATTTAATTTTTTGTCTTTCTTTCTTAGATGATCGTTTGTTCATGTGATAATTGATAAGCTCTTTGATTTTGTTTTGTTAACGTTGTTTTGTTTGTGTGTCTAATTGTCTTTTTTATATTTGTTATTATATTTCATACTACTATCCGTCCAATTCCTTCTGGGTCTTCAATTTCACATGTAGACTGATCGTGCAGGAATCTGAAGTCATAAATTAAAGCACCTTGTGTCTTTTCGATGCTCCAATTTTGGCATTGATTAATTGACTTATTCGTATAATGGCATTTCCAGTGAAGCAGCTAATTATAGTGGTCGCTTTCACACGCGGGCAAAATGCGACCGACTTTCAGTGTACATGTAACATGGAGCGAGTTGTCTTGATCATTAAAGGGAAAGTC